AGTCTGGGGAAATACCCAGGAGTTAATTTGGAGAACTCTGTTGTATACAGTAGACACAAAACCTTATTGTTCTGGCTTTGTTAGTGGTTTCTGTATATTGGGTTTACAGTCACCCTGGAAGGAAGAAAGGGGGCCTGGGGCAGAATCCTTGGGGAGTTGCACCTTGTCTATAACTCAGTCTATTCAGTCTGAGCCAGGGGGATTTCAAGTTTGAGGTCAGAAGCCATATGGTGAAACTCCATTTCAAAAATAAGTAAGAGTTGTGTACCATGTGTGTGCCTGGTGCCTGCAGAGGCCAGGATCCCTTGGGACTGGAGTTTTAGGCTGTTATGGCTGCTGGGAATCAAACCTGGGTCCCTTGGAAGTGAAGCCAATACTCTTAATCATTGAGTAATCCCTCCAGTCCCTGGTCTTGACACTCTTGTCTCTGCCTCCCAAGTGCTAGGGGTTGTAAGTAGGTACTTTCATGCTTGGTTTATGTGTTACTGGGAATTGAACCCAGGGCTTTGTGCATACTATGTGTGTCCTCTAACTCAGCTGCGTCCCAAGCTTTCTACTGCCCTTTATTTTCTGTTGAGAGAGAAAACAGTAAGAATGTGGGAGAAGGGAATAGGTAGGATAAGTGGTGTGTATTCCATAGATACTTTTTTCCTCCTCTCATTTCCCCCCACGTCTTCATATTTTACATTATTTATTTGATTTCAGGGACAGGATCTCACTATATAGCAAGGGCAGTCAAAAACAAACTATAATAGACTGGAGAGATAGGACTTACCAGTTAAGAGTACTGGCTGCTTTAGAGGACCTGGGTTAAATTCCCAGCACCTACATCATAGGGGCTCTAAAACCCTCTTCTGACATCTGTGGACACCAGGCACATACATGGTTCATAGACATACATGCAGGCAAAACCTAGACACATAAAAATAATAAAATATTTTTTAAAGACACTACAGGGTTCTTTAAGTGTTATGGCTGAAAACAAAAAGGTGTATTTGCTAATTTGCAGGTGCAGGTTTTGTTTCTATAGTTTTGTTGGCTTTTGTAAAATCCTTGGTATCACTTATGCCCTAAAACCAATTTATACGTTTGTTTTGCAGCTTAGAGAAATAAATATATTTGACATGAATGTGAATTCAGTTATAGATAAGGAAATAGTTAACACAGGATGATTTGTTTCTTTGTTCTTCAGAAACGAATAATTCTGTTGGTGCTTCTCATTTGTCCTATGTGTATTTGTCTAGAAGTACATGCTTATTTTTAGGAATACAGATAGAGAGTGGTAGCATGAACAAATGTAAGAGCCATTGGTGACGCCTTTAATAGGGAAGATACAGATACGGTGGTGCTAAGGTAAGGAATTTTTCAAGTAATGCGTCTCAACTCATGTGTTAATTGTACAAGAATTTACTGAATGCCCTCTCCCATATTCTTTGCAGCACAGTTTAACACCTAATGATGCATTATTTGAGTAATTCTCCAGTGTTTTCTTACACATTGCAAACCTCTTAAGTGTGTTTTAAATTGCCTCGGTTTACTCTATGGGCTAGCAGCAAAAATTTCCTGCATTTTATAAGTTCTCACACAGGACATTTCATATAAAACATATGTGCCCTCCACAACCTTGGGAGTTTTTCATCTGTAGATTCAGCTAACCTTACATTGACAGTTTGTGGGGAGAAGAATGTGTCTCTGTTGGGCAATGTGTAGACTTTTTTTTTCTTTTTGTTCTCTAAATAATACAGCATGACAATTACTTGTACAGCATTAGGTCTTACAAGTAATCTAGAGAGGATGTAATACATATGGGAGGATATTTGTAAGTAACTGCTGTGCTGTTTTTAAATAAGGTACTTGAATAGCCTCAGATTTTGGTATCCACAGGGATCTTGGAACCAGTAATCCTTGTGAATACCAAGGGACAATTGTACATGATTTTTAGTCCTATTATACAAATGAGAAAAGCAGAACCTTTGACAATGAGTTGAGATTTAAAAAAAAAATTATTACTTTTAATGTGTGAGTGTTTTGCCTGTATGTATGTATATATATCACCTGTATGCTTTGGTCCCTCAGAGTCCTGAAGAGGGCATTGGATCCCCTAGAACTGGAGGAAGTTACAGATGGTTGTGAGCTGCCATGTGGTTCCTGGGAACTGAACCCAGGTACTCTGTAAGAGCAGCAAGTGCTCATAAATACTATCTCTATCTTCCCTCCCCTGAAGGAGCTACTGTACTTATATAATTGAGGTGCTGACTCAGCCTTAAATCTAACATGGGTTGCTCATGCTGGGAAATGGAAACTTCCAGGGATTTCAGATCCATAAAACTTACTTGCTGAGTAACAGCAGTGTAATAGCAGTAGCTCCTTTCCTGTTCCCCTAGCTCAACACAGGAGTCCCAAAGTCAGTATGTTTTTGTGTATTGATGGGGCGAAAATTCTAGTGTGGGACTGAGGAGATGACACAGTAGTTAAGACCAGTACTGCTCTTGATGAGGACCTAACAACTATGCGTCCTCAACTGCCTGTAACTCCAGCTCTAAGGGGATCCAGCACCAACAGTGGCCTGTGCGTGCACTGGCACTCAGGCATGTTCATACTTGCCCACAGACAGACACACACACACACACACACACACACACACACACACACCGATAAAAATAAATCTGAAAAAAATGTGAATGTGTGTCATTTGAAAAGACAGCCTTAATATCTTAAGGAAAAATGTTCCCATATAATACAAAGGAGGAGGAGGAAAGTCTTCAGAAACAGAAATACTATCTCAAAATCTATGTGGTAGACCATCAGATAGGAGTCAAACAAAACAGAAATTCTGAGTTCATTAGTTTCCAAACACTGCCCTGGGGATTTTGAGTGGCTCAGCAAGTTCACCCCAAATTAGGTATTGTTGGAATCTTGGTTCTGACTGTGCCTTTGTAGTCGTCTGATGGACTGTTAGCCTGGTGGTGCTTCTGGGCTTATGTAGGCTTCTGGAGACACTTCCTTTTGATATTACCAGAAGGAGACCAGCATGGTCTCTGACTCTAAACCATTGTCCTTGTATTGTTTCCAGAGGCTGCAGTTGAGACTGTGCTGTAAGGACATGGTAGCGGTGGCAGCCTAGAATAGAAGGAATATGAAGGAGTGCCAGCACTCTTGGACCAGAGATGTACTTGGGCAGCCTGCCTGCTTTCTCATTTAGTTGGGAAAGTGGAGGAGTGAAACTGGCTGTGGGCCAGGTACAGTTTCCCTGTTCCTGTGTCCTTTGAAAATGACAGTTGTTTTCAGAAGACAGTGCTTACTAGGAGGCAGCAGAGAAGGTAGTGGGCTTAAGTGACCTTGCTTCAGGCTCAGCTCTTCTACTTCCCAATTGTATGATCTTGAGCAAATGGAACTTTGATTTTTTTAGTCTTTTTGTTTTGTTTTGTTTTTTGAGGCAGGGTTTCTCTGTGTAGTTTTGGTGCTGGTCCTGGATTTCGCTCTGTAGCCCAGGCTGGCTTCAAACTCACAGAGATCCCGCCTGGCTCTGCCTCCTGAGTGCTGAGATTAAAGGCGTGCGCCACCGCTGCCCGGCCGATTTTCAGTCTTTTTAAAAGTTGTTTTTAGATGAGGTCTCACTATGAGGCCCAGGCTAGTCTCAAACTCTTGGCAGTCTTCCTGCCTTAGCCTTCCTAATGCTGAGATTCTAGGCATTCAGCACTATGCCCAACTGACCCTTCAGTGGTTTGTAAAATGGAACTGATGTTCACACCATCTCAAGAAAGGTAGCTAGCTTATTAACATATTAGTGATTACTCGGGAGGCAGTTCTAGGTCATAAAGATAAGAGAAACTTTAACTTCATCTTCCTTCGTTCTCTTCTCTCTTTCTTTGTTTTTTTTTTTTTTTTCCCGAGACAGGTCTCTTTATGAGTAACTCTGGCTGTCCTAGAACTTGCTGTGTATATAAGGCTGGCCTCAAACTCACAGAGATCCTCTTGGCTAAACTAATTTCTTAAACTACTTTTCTGTGTTACTTGAATTTTATACTAGTGGTATGTTTAACTTGAATAACTTATTAAAACCACGTTTCATGTAATTGATATAAAATCAGATGGACATATTTTAAAACAGAAGGCACAGTCCTGACAGCTAAACGATACTCAGATAACAGTTTGAGGAAGAAATGATAAAAGCAGCTGACCCTTGCTTTCATACCGTTAGTTTTCTTTCTGAGTACGTGGCTGTGAGTAATTCTTTTTGCCAAGCCTCAGCTTCTTCATCCGAAAATAGGGGTTAATAATTGCATGTACCACAGGCGTGGGTTTTGAGATTGTATGCAGTGAGAACAGGAAGTGCCTGGTGTCCAGCACCTGGGAAGGACTCAGCTGACGTCGGTCTTGTCACCTCTTATTCTCATGGCAATGGCTTGAAGTGAGGTGGGAATTACACTTTAAAGTCACTGAAGGGGAGGCACAGGGTGATTAAGTGACTTTGCCTCCCTCCTTTACACCCTCCTTCTTTCCCTCATTTTCTCCTTTTCTTTTTAGATAGGATCTTGCTCTATAGCCACCACACCTGGTTTCGTGTTTAGGAAGGCTCTCTGAAGGCCAGATGTTGGGTTACAGCAGAAATAGCATTGGTGCCTATGTGGTGTCTGGAAGCACCTGTTCTGCAGTGTGGACTGTGGCAAACTGGAGGTCTGGGAGCTGTCCATGTATGTATTGGCCAGGGCTGTGGACAGGGGCATAGTAGAGCACCACTGTTCTGGCCCCAGGGGTTAACACGGCTCAAGTTTGATGGGACTGTGGCCAGTTTTGGACCTCATCATTTTCCCCACATCCTGAGTTACTAAAGGGTGGGACTTGTTTCCTCTCTTCCCCTTTCCACATCTACCTTGTTTTCTGAACTCTGTCAGGTCCAGACCGTTCTAGTCTGTCTGCTGCCCTCACTTGCTGCTGGCCACCCTGACACCACAGTACTGAACCTGTGCTTACATTCTTTTCCCCCTTTGTCCCAACAGGCCTGCACAAGACAGGTGGAGCTTCTCCAGGGGAAGACCTCCCTCTCAATCCACTTTTGTGGTTCCATGGTTATCTGCCTATTGTTGGTGACTGAAAAGTTTAAGGGCCAACCCTGAGGTACCAAGTTTTTCATACTTCAGACCATCGAGGTGCCTGTACCTCTTTAGGCAAGTCTGTCTGCTTTCCTTTTGGCTTGGGTCTTAGGAGGCTCTGGAAGGCCTCATGAAAGAGAACCTCTTACTGGTAGCTCATTTCAAAAATAAGAATCATTAGAGGAGAAGCATCCTCATCTCTTTGTCAAGAGTCCCTTTTTAAGCACAAGTTGCTGAGGACTTTTGTCCCTTCTCTCTGGTATTGATCTGGTTTTTGAAGATAGTCTGTTTAAAGTAATTCTGCCTTTAAGGGTGATGACTGAAAGTTTCGGACAAGGTTCTTATAAAAGAACCAGGTTGTGGGTTTATTTCAAGGCTAATGATGAGTTTGCTGAAGCGGCTTTAGGACACCAGGAAGAGACACCTGGCACAATGTTTTGGAGCTGTCATAAAGGAGTCTACCTTTTGGGAATCAAATTATAGGCAGTTCTTGGCCTCTGAAAACTCATGGCCGGATCTTACCAAAAATTAACCAGATGGGGACCAGTAGGATGGCTTAGTGAGCAAAAGTCCTCATCACCTGAGTTTGATCCTGGAACCTACTTAACAGTGGAAGGATCTGATTTCATAGTTTATCCTCTGGCCTCCATATTCATGTCCCCTCTTACAAATAAATAAATAAATGCTAAAACTTTTTTTTTTTTTTTAAAGAAATGAACCAGGTGGTATTTCTAATAAAACTGACTAATATTCTTGCTATGACCATAAAATTAACCTGTAAATGTGGGATTGTGTGCTCTCTTGCTTTAGGAGTTTTGGTCACATGTGGCAGGTCTGTTCTTACCATATAGAGACTTAGTGACTCTTCATTTCCATCCCTTCTGATTAAGGAGGTAGATGCAAAGTGACCAGAAGGTTGCTGATAGGACCATGTGTCTACTACAGAGATAACATCACAGAGTGATGTCACTCGTTTAGGGTAAGACTGTGAGGTGTTGAGGTGTGATACCTTGAGTGAGTAGTAGAGTAAGGGGAGAAGGACAGTCCTCTGGGGAGTAGGATAAGGCAAGAACTATTGGGTAGCACTGTGATGGGTGTTTGACCTAGGCAATCTGGTTTCATTGGATAGGTCAGGACACCAACCTCAGTAACATGAAGTACTGTAATTTACTGTGTTGCAGCTAGAACTAAAATTGCAATGATTTAAGAGCCAGTGTTTCTTTCATGGCAGACAAAGTCTGTGGGGATAGGAATATTGAAGTGTGGGTTGAGCTGGAGAGAGAGGCAAAACAATTATCTGAAGAAAAGAGGGTAGGACCATGCAAGGGTATTTAGGAGTGGATTGTTTAGATGGAGGGTATGGAAAGGAAAGGCCAATAAAAACAGGCTAGAGTGGAAATAGAGAGTCGAGGTATATTTCTGGGGGTGCATGTGCGCTATTTGAGGACAGTTCTTTTGTGAGAGATGCTCCCTGGGGTTTGTTTGGGGTGTAGAGGACCAGATAGTCTCTCTATTTAGAGAGGTGCAGTTGAGCCCCCACAGGAAACCTTTTAGTCCCTGGTATTTATAGACTGGCCTAAGTTCTGTAAAAGGCAACTCCCCCTTCAATTAGCAAGGCAGCATTATGTGCCTCTGAAGCATATATGGATCCCCATTTAGCCTGGTGGGAGGGCCTGAACAATGTCCCATTACATTAGCCTTATTCCTTGCTGCTTCAGAGGTCATTTCTGCAGGGGCAATACTGACATTTCCCTCTAAGTGACCTCTGGCTGCTCCCTTCCCTCTCAGGAATGAGTTGGAGTCTGGCCTGGGAATAGTAGCCCTCTTGTCTGTTCAGGCTGGCTAGGAATGCCCAGGAATGATGAATCCTGTTTGTTCCCCATCCTCTGGCTACAGGGCTGGGGTTGTTCTGTTCATAGCCTGACAACTGTGCAGTCAGTCTACTTTAACATGGATTTATTGGATATGTGATAGTGTGGGGTAGGGGTGGAGAGTATTCAGAGATGATGGAGACAGGTCTCTGGACTAAGGAGGGAGATTGCTGTGTATTTCAGTTCCTACCCTTTGCCTAGTTGTTTTTCCTTATAGCAGGAACTGTCTATAAGCTTTGAGTCTGATCTAACTTACATGGGTATTGTAAGGCTTGAATATAGTCACAATGGATTAAATCACATTTAAAGTGCATAAAAACCAAATTCATGTAGAACTAAATTAATACAATAAGGTAGAATGATACTAAATGCCAACATGTACAGAACGATGTTTTTGTTTTGTTCATTTTGAGTCAGCATTTTGAAATTTAGCCCAAAGTGGCTTCAAACTTGTAACATAGCAAGGCTGGTTTTTTCGCTGTTTTTTGTCTCACTCTCCTGAATTCTGAGATTACAGGTATGTGCCATCATACTGTTGAAAGCTTTCTTTGTGGTAGACCCTGTTCTTGCTGTTTTGTTCTATGTATTAATTTATCTTCCCAGCAACTTTGAAATTGTTTGTAACCATTTTGTACTTATTTATAGTTTAAAGATTTTTTTTGGGGGGGGGGAGATGGTATTGAGTATTGAACCCAGGGCTTCCTATATGCTAGGCAAATGCTGTACCACCGTGTTACATCCTAGCTCTATTTTTTGTTTGTTTTTGGTTTTTCGAGACAGGGTTTCTTTGTATGGCCCTGACTGCCCTGGATCTCGCTCTGTAGACCAGGTTGGCTTCAAACTCACAGAGATCTACCTGTCTCTGCCGCCCAAGTGCTGGGAATAAAGGCGGAGTGCTCCACTACCCCCTGGATTTTGTTTGTTTTTGAGACAGAAACTTATATACCAGGGTGGCCACAAGTTTTCTATATAGTCAAGGATAACTCTAAACTTCTGATCCTCCTGCCTCTCTCCCCCAATTTTTGGGATTGCAGGTGTGCATCATCATGCTCTGCTTATATAGTGTTGGGGATTGCAGTCAGAGCTTTGTGCATGCTAGCGTGCCTTACCAATGAGCTACATCCCTACCTCTCCAGTCCTTTTTTGACTTTTTATTTTGAGAAAGGGTCTCACTAAGTAGCCTAGGTTGGCCTTGATTCATTCTTACAGCCCAGGCAGGGCTTTTAAATTGCCATTTCCCTTCCTCGGGCTCCCAGGTAGCTACTATGATAGGCCTGTGCCCCAGGCCTAGCTTAAAAAGAGTTTAAAAACCTTGCCTGCACTGGCACAGCTTATAGGTAGCAGAACCAGGCTGTCTGAACTCTTGGCCACATGCTGTAATGATGTGAGCTCACAGTACATGATGGACGTTGACTGTTGTTGGCTAAAGCACAGAGGCACAACCTTAAAGTGTGCAGAGACCCCAGCAATACGCTTTGTGTTTAGACTCTTAAAGAACACACCACACCAAAACAAAACAACAAAAGCCCTCCCCTCTTAGCCATTTCTGTATATATTTTTATTAAGAATGTCTGAATTGGATCATCACTATGCAGTATCCATCGTTGGCAGTTAATTTCTAGAGAAATCAGGCTCATTGGAAAAAGCAAATGCTGGTAGGTTCATATCTTTAGAGCTGTCAGAATTAGTATCGTTGAATTTCCAGTACATTCGACTCCATGTGTCAGTGCTGTGGCTTTCATAATGTGTGGTGTCTGTGACTGAAAGTGGTTGTCCGTCTCATTTGCAGCAGCTTCAGAACCCCCCTAGAATACCCCAGAGTATCACCTGAAGTATGTTTTATAATCACATGGTCGGTCATATGATGACATGAACAGAGAAAGGGAACTTTTTTTGTCTGTGCAAACAAGGAACTTTAGTATAAATAAGAGGTTCAAGGGAATAAGGAAGGCTCTGGGAGCTTCCATAATTTAACACTGTTAAAAAGCACAGACCATCGCTAGGAGTGGGGTTTGGGCTGGGGTTGGTGGGCCACACCCCTGCGCTGCCCTCTCAACGCAGGGACACTGTGGGGCTGAGCTGTTGTGGGTTGAGTCTCTCCAAGTGACTAGTCATATGCTGGGACAGGGATGTGGTTAACACTGAGGTTTCAGAGGAATGGGTCATTGTACTTGACAGTGGGTGGAGGACAGGGTTGAGGCCACACAGGCCACTAGAAGGGAGACTATTTTGGGGGACAAAATGTGCTAAATCAGAAGACGAAATGGAGGATGGGGAAGGTGGTGATGAGGTAAATATGGACAAGATACAATAATAATGAAAATGTCATAATGAAACTCATTGTATTGAACACTAATAATTAAAAAAAAAACAAACGGGAAGATAAAACTGTAGCACTCTAGCCCTTCAAGTCAGTGCTCTCATGGTTGGGTCCCTGGCATCCATGTGTTCAAGATTTCCTCTGCTCATCTGCTGAAGTTCCAAGCACCTCAGGAGATTGCAGAGCTGCATACAGCAGTCTAAACAAACTTTAGAACTTCCTGTTTGTCTTTTTATGAAGGTGCATCCTAATCTACAGTTTTTATTTTAGATTTACTTTTTTAATGTGTATGCATTTGTGTATGCCACATGTATGTGGGTGCTTGAGGAGGCCAGAAGAGGGTGTTGGGATCCTCTGGAACTGGAGTTACAGGCTGTTGTGGGTTGTCTGACATCATTGCTGTGAACTGAGTTCAGATCCTCTAGAAGAGCAGCAAGTACTCTTAACCCCTGAGCCATCTATCTGTTCAGTCCAACATGATGTTAACATTTAAAATTTACAGTACCTGACATGAAACAAATTTATACCTCTACCAAGATTGCATGCTTTGGGGTCAGAGTGCTTAGTTTGAAATCTCACCCAATCTCTTTCTGTATGACCTTAGACTGGTTATTTAACCTCTGCTGCTAGGTTTCCCTGCCTAAAATAGGAGATAATAATTAGTACTTACCTTTTAAGGTGGTTGTGAGGGCTAGATCAGATAATAAGTGTAAAGTGCTTAGATTCATGCCCAGCAGATAAGCAGTCAAATGCTAGTTAATATAATAATAATGGTATTTTTATCTTGAGTATCCTGGGATGGAATTATGACCACCTCAGTTATAGAGAATGACA